GCCCCTAGATACCGAATATTTGGGCACCAGTACCCATAGTTGGCTTTTTACCGAAAATATTGGATAATCCTTTCCTGATAGTAATATGTATGTGTGTTAAAAATGGATTGAATCGGGTGAATACCTCTCTTAGCCCACATATAACTTATATAAAGATTTTCGAACTTACGGGTGACTTTATACCGCATATATAGACCAATATGTGAGTTATCTAAATAAAATTGGGAGAGCGTGTTTTTCTTTTAACAGTGCATATTTGTGCTTAGGAYGAATAAAATCGGCCCTAGGCCACTTACAACTGACAGGTCTTATGTACATGAAAGTACTGCCCTGGTTTTAATCTTTGTAAGTTGCAAGAGTATGAAATTTTCGCTTATAYCCAAACATAGCTCTTCCTTACTTGTTTTATACACACTTTTCAAGCCAGTTATGCCATATCAAACAATTGTGATGTGTTCAAAACAGTAATAATTTGTGCAACATTTTGTGGACGGGTTTAAAACAACTGAGAAGATACAAAAGGCGCCCTTAACGATACACATATATACTCGTAAATACATAAGTATGCATGTTGCTAATTTTTTATGTATTTATAAGCAATATCACAATGGCCTGAGGTGCGCCACGGCGTATTATTGAAATATTTATACAAAGTTGCAATTAGGCGTATGAATGCATTTTTTCCCACTTTTAACTATTTTCTACCAATTATTGAGTTGTGTATGGTAAATTTCGAATTTCCAAACAACAATTTCCAACACTTTTCGAAATTGCTCTGTATAATATATGTATTCCACTCACTTTTTGCAACACAATCTGTTGCACTACTTTTTGCAGCAAACAAAAGAGCTTTTCGCTGACTAAAAMATAAATGGCAAACTTCACGTTCTGTTTAGCAACGGAGTGCTGGCGAATTCATTTGTGAAGAGACATACTATAGCGGAGGTATATATGAGAGACATGCATTGCATATAATGGCACACGGGATGTACAGGCATATATTTTTATACATGTATATATGTACTTTTGTAYCTCTGTATAATAGCTTGAGTTTTGAAAGGGGGCAGATAATTTAATTACACACAATTGGGGCACATGCGCAGGCGCATTTAACAATTTTAAATGCTCATAAAACATCGGTAAGTAAGCTTGGGTGCTGTGGAGTTGCAATATGATTGTAACGTTCATATATACATACATATATACACATTATATTATATGTACATATAAAGACCAAAACAGCAACTGTGGCAAACAACAATGGCAAATGGAACTCGCACTGCTGCGCATGCGCAATGGACATTGCTTTCAAACATGCTGTGAAACGAAAAAAAACGCGTACACACTTTTATCACCTTAACATAGCGACGCATAGCATTTACCATACCAAAATAGTTCAGTTGCAATGTTGCCCATGCGCACCTCGCGGCACATCAACACACACACATAGCTATTAATRTAGACCATACCAAATGCTTAACACAAGTGCTTTAGTAACGAAACAAGAGCAATGGAAAGGAAAAATAAAGCTAACTGAATYAAACTTAAATCTTTAATACCAATTTTAGCATTTCAGCTAGGTCAGTGTCAGTCGCCGCTGTGTGTGTATGTGTGTGTGTTTGTACRCTCGTTTAGCAAATGCAGGCCAACCTTAGCTCACACGATAACTTGTCAGCGCTCAAACACACATATCTCAATATATATRYAYRYRCACAYAYAYATATAYA